AAGTTACTGCCAATGTACACAAAGTCAAAAATCTGTGACGTGGAGATGGTCTGCACAAGCGTCAATCTCTGTCTTCATGTGAACCCTGTGCAGTAAATAGAAGAATATCAATAAAAGTTATTATACTTTCCTAGTTAAAGGTTCAACTTCCGCCTTACAGAAAAGTAAGAATTAATTGTTTGAAGAGAATGGATGAATGTGTGAATGCTTGAAGTGTTTATTACACCTGCTCAGTGTCTGGTATCCGACACCCCTCTGAGCTGTTGTGTTAGCGCTAATTTCCCAGCAGGCATCAGGGCAGTGTGAGTGACAGTTGGAAACTCTCATTTGCATGTTGCAGTCCTGCAAAAAAAAAAAAAAAAAAAAGTATTAAAAAAACCATCATCATCATCACTCGTCCCTGTGGTGATGAATGCAAACGTGCATTGTGTTGCCAATTACTGCCTATAAACATATGTCAGTGAAGGTGAGAAGAAGCAAAAACAAATGGCTCATTCATTTGTGCCGCCAAACAAACTATCTGGATCCTGTCAACATGAGTAATGCTAATTGTGCTTAGCAGCATCATTGGTCAAAGTGTCGGACACCATCAAGTCGATTTGAGGAGTTTGTCACCATCAGTCCCGTCGTGGGCTCGTTGAGCTCTTCATTAATGATGTGTTATCTGTCATCGGCTCACGTGCTTTAATAAGACGACTCCCATCGACTCCTGTTTTCCTAAAAGCTGGGAAACTTTTTTTCGTGAGAAGTCAGGAAAACGAAGAGCGATTACAACCATTAGGAGCGCTGCCTGTCTAAAGCGCCACAAACATTGTTTTATTGATGCCGTTCACTTTAATGCTTAATCTGCAGAGATATTTGACAGTTTACTTCCTGGATCATTTTTCACTGTTTGTGAAACCACTGAGATTTGTCTCGCTACAGGCTATATGTAAACACAAATTACTTTGGAGAATCATTTGCCCAACTCTTTTTTACAGTGATAAATAATCACTTTATGGATATGTTGTCGCCATTTCTACTCCTTTTCCTTCCTCCCAACAGGATGTGGTGCGATGCAGACCAGGAAGTGGGTGTGACAGGCTCCCATTGCTATAATCAAATAACGGTATCCAGGTCCATGTGCTAATTAATCAACAGCTCTGGGGGCTGCACGTAGCCTAGAAGGAGACATTTGATCTGTTGAATCAGCTTCTTTGTCTAGCCCACCTCCTCCTCTTTCTCCATTTATCTTACATTAATTTAGTGAAGTCATTTCAACGCAGCCCTCCTTTAACACATACACACACGCCCAGAGTTTTAAGCCTGTATCATCACTGCTCCTTATTTCCTTGTAAAAGATTGGACAAAGCATTTTTTTTCCACTTTAATGCAGGAAAATTTGGCTTTTCTCCAGTCGCTGCCTGTAAATGTGTGGAGGGTTTTATGAAGTGGGATGAAATGATCTGCTGTTTTTCAGCCCATGCGCTACACTTGACCTCTGCAAATGATCTTTAACACGTACTCTTGGTGAAGGGGTCCAAGAAGTTATCTATTCACCAGTACATTGGATATTTCATTTCCCAGTATCGTATTGATATCGTATTGATACAATTTTATATCAGTTACAACTTCAGATCCCTTTGTTCCTATGTTAGTAACCTGACACTGTTGCCACATGATGTAGGGCATTTAGCAAAGAAGAATCAACACTATTAACAGGGAAATAAAGATGAATAATAAAAAAAAAGTTTCCTTCACTGTCAACTCAGCCAGCTGAACAGAAAGTGAGCAGAGCTTTTACAATATGAACAATATCTCATTTCAATTGAAAACACTGTTTCCTGCTTTCAAGTGAACCAGGTGTCACTTACACGGTGGAACACTGTTATCATGTTTCCATAAACAAATGAACACAATGTTGGTCAAACACCTCCCAACAGGAAACGTGACCACCTGTGCTTAGCACTTGATTACAGTGTTTTTAAAACTATAGAAGACCACAAGCATCCTGATGATAAACAGACCCTGTGCAGTCAATGTGAAAAGAAGTGTCCTGTGTGACCTTTACAGCTGTACACTTGTCAGAGGAATCTGCAGTGGAGAAAAAAGAGAGAGATAGCCACTGTATATAAATGCTTCTCCCTAGTATTAGTTGGAGAGCGAGGAAGCAGGATGAAGTGAGCAGGAGAGAGAAACTTAGACGAGAGTACGGAGTTTCAATAAGAGTGTTTCGATTTTTCGATAGCTCCCTCCATGATGTGTGCAGGTAGACAATGATACGCGCACAGTGGGACAGGATGCTGTCGCACCCGAGCAATATGAGCCCTATCAATCACCACCTGTGGGCACAAATGTAATTACAATGTGGCTGTTGACAGTCTGGGTAACATGAGACAGCAGTGGCTTACATTAGGGGATTGATGCTGCCCACTTTGATGGTGGTGCACTTGGCAATGTTGTACTTTCTTTCTCTTTATATTTCAGCATTGCTGGAATTGATTTTAGACATTGTGAAATTACTTTTCATAGTTTTTTTTAATGGAAATCATAAAACAGATCCATAGTCTATAACAAAGGTTAGATTCTAGTGCCCTGTAGTCTAAGTCAGACCATACAACGACCAGTGAGCTAACTATACAAGAAATGGCTTACACTGTAGTTAACCTGAGGTATATAAAGCCATAAACGGTCTAATTTTACATTCTACTGTTAATACTCAAATACTGCATAATACACCTACAAGGTTCTTCAGCATTGGCCCAAAGGGAAGTAAGAACAGTCATCTTTAAAAAAGCCATATATATATATATATATATATATAATGTTATTTTGCATTTAATATAATAGAAAAAAAATACAACCTAGCCTAAAAGAGTGCCTAAAAAATTCTCCCAAGAAACACATTAAAATCAGGGAATAGATAGATATGAGCACAGTTGCAGTTGTAGTGAGGCGATCCTAAAGCCGCTCTTGGTTGCCTGCAAAAACATAGCCAAAAATACACTGCAGATATATCAATATTATGAAATACTGTAGAAACTGTAAATAATCTTTCTTTTGCTGCTGCAAGATGTTTTAGTCCATATAAAACCTACCACATAAATGTTCCTAAACTATAAATATTAAATCATGACATAAAAAATGAAAATGATCTTTTCCCTCCACATATTGAGTGGCACTTTCTAAAAGAAAAAAGTGTAAAAATAAATAAACAAAGGCAGACTTGTCCTTTTCTGTTGTCCACGGATTTGTCTTTTGCTATTTTTTTTAAGTGCAGTTGCCTGAGTCGTCTTATTTTCTGCTTTTTTTCTCTGCTGTTGTCACTTTCAAAGAAGTTTGCTGTGATCCAGAGCAGTACTTTGCAGGGAGGCGGAATAAATCTCCCCATTAGGAGGAGGATAATTGATGGCTTTCATCACCGAATGGAATACAATTATTCCAATCTGTGATGTTTCAGTGGCAAGTGCTGCTTTACTGTGTTGCAGCTTGAATGATTTATGAGACGGAATCAAATGACACCATGATGAGGGGCTTCTTTTGTTGTTTCACCTCAGTGTGTGCCTCTGTGTTTCCTCCTGTGTTATTATTTAGAACTTTTATTTTTCCTTTCAGGTACATTTTTAAGAGCTACCTGACATTTGAAAACCAACAACAAAAAAAGAACCACAGTGTATGTTTATCCCTGTGAAATTTATTTTGGTGAGAGGCTGTTATATCTAACTGTTCCCTTCAGGGGTCACCACAGTGGATCATCTGCCTCCCCCTCTTCCTAACCCCTGCCTCCTCTGCTTTTACACATATTTCAATTTTAGCATTTGCATCTTTAAAACATGATTTATCTCAATTAATCATGATTAAATCCAATCATGATTAATCATTATTATCATCTGCTCATATACGCCTCCCAGAGGTATACTGTAAAAATGTCTCCATTTTCCTCCAACTGGATAGATTCCAGGCCCACTGCAATCTAGTCTTAACTCTTTAAACCCTTGCAGCAGGATTACAGTACGAAGGCTGCCATATTATCTTCACATTATGAGTTGTTGACAAACATAGTCTATTGTTTATTTGTTGATTTCTGGATTAGATATGTTCGACCCATTTGACATTCCATCTTGCCTGATGACTCCAAACTGCTGCTCCAAATCATCATCCACTGCTGGCTGTTTTCACCAGCACACTTGTCAGTGAAGATGTTTACAAAAGCCCACCACAGCTGCACTTCTTTCCCAGTTACTCAAGTTGGTGTTTATTCAGTTCCTTCATTTTTGATTTTGGCTGTAAACACCAGTCTGTTGTGCTCGCGCCTGCTGGTGCAGTGTGTGCTCAGCGTCCACAGACATGAGTGGGTGTGCATGTGCTCCAGTGGAGGAAAGGGGAGACGGTAACCTCCACACCGCTGCTGCTTGCTCTCACTTGCCCTCCTGGCCATTTTGGCTGGCACTCAACGGAGGATTCTTTGGCAAACACACTCTTTATTTTCTTGTGAGGCAACAATCACCTGCTGCTCGGCTTCACTTCAGAGCGCCACGTCACCTGGCACTACATCTTGTGTGATGTATAGATTTTTATTTAAATTTTCATTCATTTCTCGGGGGCTGGTCTTTGTCTCTGAGTTTCTGTGAGTTCTCAGCTGATTGCCTGTGTAATAAATGTTTGTTTTCACAGCCAAATGCAAACACCCTGCCTATTTCCTGGTGTTTGATTTGTGTCGGTCTCTAACTACTCTCCTCCTGCACCTCCTGGCCTCTCGAGGCCTCTTCTGGTATCGTTCATCCTCCCACTCCAAACAGCTAGCATCTTGTCCGCCCACACTGTCAAACCAGCGTGGACAATCTCTTCTTATATGCCTCAGTGTCAGACCTTTTTGATTACAAGTCCTCCCATCCATTCTTGTCTTCTTCCTGCAAGAAATATGCCGGCGTTTTATTTTTTCTCATTCGACCTGTCTTAATAATTATAATAATTAAAAAAAACAGATTGTATTAATACTTTATTTGATTTGCTTTTCTCAGCGTTCAGTCGAGCACCCATCCCCATGGCAGTGGTGAGGAGGGAGCTGTCGTGCGAGGGTTACCCCATTGAACTGCGCTGCCCGGGCACTGATGTCATCATGATCGAGAGTGCCAACTACGGCCGCACTGATGACAAGATCTGTGATGCAGACCCGGCACAGATGGAGAACACGAGGTGTTACCTGCCCGATGCATACAAGATCATGTCACAACGGTAAGAATACAGCTGACTATTATATCCGGTTATTATAAATATATCTTACATAGTTACCCAAGTTTTCCTTAAAAAAAAAAAAATCTGCTGATGTTGAGTTGACACGCTGATCATCCAGAGGTATGACAGTGAGGGGAGTGGTTGTCTCTGTACATGGCCATGTTGCACTGGTCAACTGTCCAGTGTGTAACTTACCATGGCCCAGTGGCTGCTGGGAATGTCTCCAGCTCCTCTGTGATCCTGGGAAGTATTCAGGCCATAGAAAATAAAAATAAAACATTCTCTCTGTGTGTATTCAGATGAGTCACATACATCTGTGTAATAAATATTAGCCTCGACAATCACATTAAACATCATAATTCCAAACCAGGCTGTACCAGGCTAAAGCCTCCACCGCCACAGATCCATGTCCGTTATAAATAAATATGAAAAGGTTAGAATCAATGAATCATAACACAAATGTTCTCCACTGGCAGATGTGAGCGCAGCCTCCTGAATTATCACAGTGGTGCATTTCATTTCCTCCATCTTGGCTTTTTTTTTCTTACTCTAATTGATTAGTAACATTTAGTTAATATATGCTGCTCATTCATTGTAACCAAGTTGTCTGGGTTTTTTAGAAAATGGAATGCTTCAGGCTAGAGTGAAGCGACTAAAGTGAAACTCAAGTCTTTTGTTGACTTATTGCAGCACTTAGGAGAAAATGAAGAATCATTTTGTGGCGATGGTAGGAAGTGTGGTTTATCTTGCCTTAGAGGTCATAACACCCTTGAGCACTCGAGAAGAGGCGTTTATCTAAATTGCTACTTAGTGTGAACATTTGTCTATTTTTCAAGGCTTTAACAAAGACCAGTGTCTCTCCTTTTTTTGCACCTCCAAAGCTTTAGTTCCACATTGTGGACTTTGACAATACTAATGGACTTTTGGACTTTATCAAAAATGCTCCCTGCTTTTTTGTTAGCAGCCATGGAGTTCAGATAATCATGGGCACGGACGGCAGCTGATTGTAAAAAGAGCTACTTTGAAACATGATGTCAGATAATTGATGCACCATGCAGCTGCCTTGTTCTCCGGCTACCCACTCACACTAACGTCCCTGAGGGAATGAATCAATGGGTCTGTTTCAGTCAAGAAATTAAATCTAACGTAAACACAAGAAAAAGAATATATATATATATATATATATATATTAACATATTGTTGATAGTGAGCCCATTCACTGACGTTAAAAGGAAACCATAACGTGGTTCAGGTCTTGGTAGAGAAAATGACTAATTGGATAGAAGCCATTGGTGTTAGAGAGTAAAATGGGTTAGGGGAGACTGGTTCTCATTTACTATGAGTGATATAACAACATATCTACACATTAGTAGGCAGTGGTTTGCTGTAAATAAGTTAAGAAAAATACAACTATATATATGAATGCTGCCTGCTGCCTCCTGCCAGTTCATTGTCCAGCTGTCAGCGCTGTTGCTATGGGCCTGCAGCTAAGCTCATTAGCGTAAAAAGGAAATAAGCACAAACAGAATCACACATTTCAGCAGTGAGGGTCTTAAAAAGCCAAACGAGAAGGCAGAGGTTAGAGGGAGGACACACGGCCTTCACTTTAAACATTATTAAACCAATGCAAATCAGACCAGCTTCAAAGCAGATGAAATGATGTAATAAAACACATTGTGTCATTTACATCTATATCTACGCAAATTTTCCTGGAGACCCGTTCCTTATCCCAGAAAAACATCCCAAATATTAACTGTATACTTGCATGACTGTAGTTCAGTTTTTAATAATAATCCTCCAGTAGCCAGAATCAGAAGAGGAAATACTACAATAAAAATCCCCCATGCTGAGATCAGGCAACTTGAATAGAGTGAATAAAGCTGCAGATCCTGGCTGTGATGTGACAAACCTGGGTCACCTTGGTCGCTTCTGCCATTCTTTACTAAAGATGGGATGGCGATGGGTGGGGGGATAAGCACTGTGGCTGGTGTCCTCCAGACATGACACTAAGAACTTAGGCCGGACAGCTCAATCATGGTCCCATCAGATCCAAGAGCCTAATCCGTCAAGTCATTTTTAAAGACTCTCCACGGGGCCAGGCTTCTGTGTGGATCCTAATCTCCTCGCAGGATCTGTGAAGACTCTTGGGGCTACTGAGTTTGGACGTCCACAGCTAAACACCACTCCCATTTGCCTAAAACACAAATAGTTGAATCATTTTAGTGGCACTGCGCACTTAGAAGCTTTCAGAACGGCAGGATATTTCAATTTTCTCAGCTCAGCACCCGAAGGTAACAAGTACAGGGATATGAAAAACAGAAAAATAATTTTCTTTTTCCTGAGTGGCTAATCAAAATAATACTTTCATTATTGCAAAAATGCAAAAAGCATTTTTACAAAAAGCATAGAAAGTTTTTGTATTTTGCATTTATGGATTGTTTTTGTAACAGTGGTTTCATAGAAAGGCTTTGTGTTAATTTAGAAACTTCAGCAGCAGTTTTCTCCCCTCACCATAATCTGTAGGATATTTTTATTGAATATTTTTCAGTAGTATTTACTGTAGATGGTGAATTTTCTTTTCTATTATTTGTTTACAGATTTTCTTTGCAGCAATCAACAGAAAATGAGCCATAACCTAAGGATGCAGCCACTTTTATACCCACAAGTATCTTGATTACTTATTCCCAATAATACTGATAACATAAGAAAGAAAAACCACATATTCCCAAATAAACATTTTATTCTTTAGAGAATTTAATTTTAAAAAGAATCATGAAATTCTTAATAAAAACATATACAACAATAGACTACAGTAAAATATTCACTGTTTCCTTTGTGGATTGCCACCTATTGCATTAAATACAAGTTGAGCGTCTACTTTAAGCAGGTTCATTTTAACCAATAAGTGTGACGTTAAACAATAACAGAAAAGAGAAACTTCCAGAAAGCTTAGGTTTATTAAGATAACTGTAAGGCAGGATTACACCTATTGATAGATGGAGTATCATCTCATATCATCGATACATGGTAAAAACTCTATGTCTGGCTGAGAAGATATGAGATTTCATAAACATGCATTTTAGGTTTAGCCTATAAGTTTTGGTTTAAATGCAGTTTATTTTTTCACTTCCTGTTTTTATAATTTCTGGTAGTCCCCCCTGCAGCCTGTGTCCACCACCTGCCTCTGCTCTGGGCACAGCTTCACTAGTGGTGGCTGGGCAGCACAGTGCTTACCATTCACGTCTCGTCTAAAGATAAGCCAAGCTGCCGCCGGCTTCGTCTTTGTGCCAGGCTCACATCCATCACCAGCAAATGCCCAGCCATGTCACCGATTCTCCTGGGCTGTCAATACACATTTAGTCCGTTCAATCCTCCCCTCCTCCCTCCAGGCCAGCGACAGAGAGCCCCATTGATATTCAGCCACCAAACCCTAAGCACTGCCTGTTCCAGGTTAGCCCCTTATGAAGGGTGTGTGCTTGGCCTCCGAGCCGTCGAGGTGTTTAAGAGGAGAGCTAACGCTTCCTGCTGTTTCCCAGTTTGTGAGTATTGTAATGCATTTAAAATAAACGCTCGTCTCCCTTTGTTATAACGACAGGTTCAAAACAAACGCTCTCCTCTAGCAGACAACTCCCTCTTGTGCTGTGCTGAATCCCCAGCCTCTGGTTACACATGTCACCTATAGGTGGTGCCGTGTTACAAGCCTGATAGAGGCTAATGATGCTGTAATCACTTCCAATGCTGCCAAACATTAATTTAGCACAATTTGTGGTCATTTGCATATTATACACACTAACACACACACACACACACACACACACACACACACACACACACACACACACACACACACACACACACACACACACACACACACACACACACACACACAAAGAGTCAGCTGATCCTACTGGGATATTTCTGTAGCCTATTGTTATGAAAGCTGTTGACTCTGCTCCTTAAGTCCACATCTATGGCCATTCTTACTGTGTAAAATGGCCAGAGAGGTCGAACACTCGTGTTACTCATCACATCCCTAGTGTCTCTCTGCCTCACCTCTTCTTTTCCCTCTTCTCTTTTCCTTCCTGCTTTCCTCTCCCGAGGCGCCGTGGCCTTCATGGCCAGTAATTACAGGCTTTATCAAAGCTATATATCACCTGGCATCACAGGAGACCTCAGCAGGCACCTTTAGGGACCGCTGATAGCATTGTGGCTTATGCATGACCAGTGCAGGACAGCTGAGGTGAGAGCAGAGGAGCCGTTGTCTTTATCCATGACAGTGCCGTCAAAAGTCACGGAACAAAGAAGGAGAGCAGGCGGTTCTTCCTGTGTTTTATCGCTCTGTGTACCGTCAAAGGTTAATACTCATAACAGCGTGATGAGCCTCCGGTGGCTGATAAAACCAAATTAATGTGACGTATGATTTGATCCCTCACGGCTTCGGTGATGACTGACGTTGACAAGCCAGCTCTTAATGACATTTAGTGTTTAAAACAAATGCCTTCAGGCTTTTATTTACTGCCGGCTCTGCATGAGACAAATGACCAAACTCCTGACAGAACATCAGGCGTGATTGAGGGATGAAGAAGGAGAAGCAGATGGGAGGATCCTTTGTGTGTCGCAAATGATCTTTCCCATACGTTCCAGTTCTCATTATCCTTGGCTTTTGACCTTATTTTAGAGTTGAAGGATTTGATGAAATATTTGTTTAAACAGAGGAGCGGGATTAACTGAAAAATCCCCTTCGGCTCTTTGCCCATTTTCATTTAAATCCCCTCATCTCCAGCAGGATGTGGGGAGTTTAGATTCTTTGGTTGGAAAAGAAGGAAATTAGATGTCTGTTCATCACAAAGTTACCCTTTAAAAGATGTGGAGATTGAGAAGTTGAACTAAGTGAAAGTTCTGAAAGTCAGTTGTTTAAACTTCAGGGTATGAATTAGGATGGATAGGCTGCACTGGTCAGAAGTCGGTCATATTGGAAATAGTAGAAGCCCTTCCCTGCC